CATGTTTTGTGGCCTAACATGATCTATCCTGGAAATGTTCCATGTGCATTTGAAAAGAATGTGTATTGTTTTTGGATTAATTTTACTGTACATATATTAGGTTCATCTGGTCTAATAGGTTATTCAAAGCCACTATTTGTTCCTTTTCTGTCTGTATAATCTTCTGATGTAAGTGGGGTGTTAAAACTCCCTATTACTGTATTACTGTCAATTTTCCCTGTGTTAACATTTGTTTTATATATTTAGATATTCTGATGTTAGGTACATAGATATTTACAAGTGTTATATCCTCTTCTTGGATTGATCCCTTTTTTATTATGCAGTGCCCTTTGTTTTTTGCTACAGACTTTGTTCTAAAGTCTTTTTTCTGATAGAAGTATTGCTACCCGTTTTTTTGTTTTTGTTTTTTTTCACTGCCTTTTGCATGGGATATGTTTTTCCATTCCCTCACTTAGGTGAAGATTTTAGGTCTGAAGTGAGTCTCTTATAGGCTGCATATACCTGGTTATTGTTTCTAGCCATTCAGTCACCCTCTATCTTTTGGAGCATTTAGTCCATTTACATTTAAAGTAATTATTGATGGGTATATACTTACTGCCATTTTGCTAATGTTCTGCTTGTTTTATAGTTCTCTGTTCCTTTCTTGTTCTCTTCCCTTGTGCTTTGGTGGCTTTCTTTAGTGTTATGCTTATTTTCTCTATTTTTGTGTATTATGTTTTTAATTTGTGGTTACCATTAGATTCATATATAATGCCACGTGTGTGGTGGTCTATATTAAGTTGGTTGCTTAAATTCCAACACATTCTAAAAGCACCAAATTTTTACTCCTCCATGTTTTATGTATGTCCTATTTTACATCTTTTTACTTTGTGTATCCCTTGACTGATTTTTGTAGATATAATTGCTTTTACTATTTTTGTGTTTTAACCTCCATACTGGCTCTGTGATTAATCTACTCTATGTTTGCTTTGACCTATGAATTTTTCTTCCTTTCATAATTTTCTTACTTTTAGTTGGCCTTTTCTTTCCACTTGAACTCTCTTTAACATTTCTTGTAAGTAAGGCTGTTTTAGTGATGAAGTCCTTTAACTTTTGTTTGCCTAGGAAACTTTATCCATCCTTCAATTCTGAACGATAGCCTTGCTGAGTATTCTTGGTTGCATGTTTCTTCTTTTTATCACTTTTGAATATATCATGCCACTGTCTTCTGGCCTGCAAAGTTTCTGCTAAAAAGTCAGCTGATAGCCTTATCAGGTTTGAGAGGTTTTCCACTATTTCAAGTAAGTTTGCTGCTCCCCTTCCCTGTTCTCCTTCTCGGATCCCTATAATGTTATTTTGCTTGATGATACTGCTGAGTTTCCTTAACCTATTTTTTTCTTTTTTGTTGTTCAGCTTATTTGTTTTCCATTACCCTTTCAGATCACTGATCCATTCTTTTTTTTTTTTTTTTTTTTTAAGGCTTTTTGAGAGCAAGTGAGCACAAGCTGGGGGGGCGGGGAGCGGGGAGAGGCAGAGAGGGAGGGAGAAGCAGACTCCCCACTGAGCAGGGAGTGCAATGTGGGACTCCATCCCAGGACCCTGAGATCATGACCTGGGCCGAAGGCAGACCCTTAATGGACTGAGCTACCCAGGTGCCCTGATCCATTCTTCTGTTAATCTGCTGTGGACTCCCTCTCGTGTATTTATTTCTATTACTGAATTCTTCATCTGATTCTTACATTTCTATCTTTGTTGAAGTTCTTATGGAGTTCATCTACTGTTCTCTGAAACAGAGATGAGCAATATGCCTGATAAAGAATTAACTCTTTTGCTGTGACTTTGTCTTGTTCCTTCATTTGGGACATACTCCTCCGCTTCATTTTGTCTATTTCTGTGTTTCTATGTATTAGGGAGATCTGCTGTCTCCTGGTCTTGAAAGTAGTGGCCTTGTGTACAAGTCCTCTGGTTCCCTGTAGCACAGTCCTCCCTGGCTACCAGGACCAGCACTCCAGGGATGTCTCCCTTATGGGCTGCATGTGCCCCTAATCTTGTAGCTAAGCTCTATTTGACTTCAGCCCAGCCTGTTGCAATGACCCATTTTGCCTGCTGTGGGTGCACACAGCAGGGTTTGGGCACTGGGCAGAGTTTGGTCCCTGTCCTATAGAGAGGCCTACTGGAGGTGGTCACAGGCTTAAAGATGTGCAGTCCAACCCTAGGTGGCGTTGCCAGACAAGGTTTCTGCAATTTTCCTGCCACAGTTGTGGGGGCACTGAATGGCATGACTTACTCCCTCCACAGCCACCTAAGAGACTCAGCTGCCAGAACAGCAGGCACACTGGTGTGAAGTTGCTTCTTCCTCTCCCCAAGGCAGGAGTCACTTGGAGTGGTGCCAGTCCCAGCCAGGGCTCTTTGCAAGGTGAGGAGAACAGAGCAGGAGCGATTTCAGAGGGATCGTGTTTGGCATATATTCTTCCGTTTTCATTTTCCTTGACTATGTTATTTCTGCATATCAGGTAAAACAGCCACCTCTCTATCTTGACAAAGTGGTCTTATGTAAGAGATGAACATCTATCAGCCTGGTCCCAGCTCCTTTCATAATTGTCCAAGCTGCCTTCTTTGTTGTTAGCAGTCTCTAGTTAAAGGTGGGCCAGAACCTATCCCAGTGTGTCCCAAAGTGGAGGATCTCAGTCATTACCTAGATGCTGGCTGATTAGAAAGCGGACCCTCAGACAATAGGTGAGAAAGTATATAGTTAAGCCCCTTCCAGGTAGATATTGGGAGTATTTTTGCTTGTTCCCTCTGCTCTGGGCCCACATGTATGTATAGCTGCAAGTGGCTATTCCTATGCCTGTTAAGAACTACTACTTTGCTTGCTACTGTCCTATAGGACTCATGAATGCAAGCTCCATTACTTTCAGAGCCAGGTGATTCATGGGCATGTCCCATGGGCAGCAGTGCAAAAGCTGGGGCACAAATGTGTTTATGTTTCTTCCACAATGACACTGGTGGCTTAGAGTGGGCTGTAGGGAGAAAACAGGAGCCCACTAGTTTCCCCAGTTTCCAGAGAATGCATCTAGCCCCTAAAGAAAGCTGACCTGCAGTCACCAGCTTTCCAATTATGCAGATGATCCCCTTTTAGTTAAAAGACTGGGAAATGTGTGATTTTTGCCTGCTCCCTTTACACTGGGCCCAGGGAGGGTAGCCACAGCAAGTGTTTATATGCCAGTAACAACTACTTTGTTTGCTACATTCTTATGGGACACAAGTCTCACTGTTCAGAGCTAGGTGTTTTGGGAGACTGTCCCTCAGGTGGGAGTCTTAAAAGTTGGGGCACCAGATGTGCAGTCCCAACCCTTCACTCCACAGGGAGAAGCTAGGAGTTGGGGAGTTTTTTCCTCATTATCTGGTCTTGTGCCAGGGTGGGGTTTATTTTAAGAGTGTGTCTCAGCCTTTCACACCCATTTCGATGTGGCTATTTTCATTCAGCCAATGTGCAAGTCACTTAGCTAGCTTTTGGATTTTTTTCAGCAGTAACTGCTTTGTATGTAACTGTACACTGCATGTCCATGGAAGGAAGAAAGTTCAAGAGGCTCCTATGTTGGCATCTTGGTCAACCCTCACCTGGTAGCTTGTTAAAAATACCAATACCTGGGCCTCAATCCCAGAGATTCTCATTTAATTGGCCTGGGACAGGGCTCTGGCAATGCTAATCATATGGCTGCCGCATATGATTCTAATGTGCCAAAAGGTTCTAATGTACTTTCGGTTCTTCTTGTGTTATGTTCTAAGAAATGGGAATTGTATTACTACAAAGTCAAAAGCTATTTAGCTCTGGTGTTTGGCAGTATGAAGAATCAGAACACTGAAGAGAACAATGCAAAGTAGACACCTATACTTTAACAAAACATGAGTATGTTGTATTATCCTTTTGAATGGCAAATCCTTTTAATCAGGTGGGCTGTTTTTAAACTTGCTCACTCCCTACACTGCATTCCTTGCTTTCAAAAGAGGAAATATGGGGGCACCTGGGTGGCTCAGTCAGTTAAGTGTCTGATTCTTGATTTTGGCTCAGGTCATGATCTCAGGGTCCTGGGGTCGAGCCCCATCAAGCCCCACATCGGGCTCCACACTCAGCAGGGAGTCAGCTTGAGGATTCTGTCTCTCCCTCTCCCCCTGCTTAGGCACACTCTAAAACAATCTTTAAAAAAAAAAAAAAAAAAAAAAATACATAAGTCTCATTAGATATACACTAGAAAATTGTGTGGAGTAACTCAGACCAGAAAGGCATACTTTTCATTGGTGTTCCTAGGCGTGCATGGCTTGGCAGCAAACTAAACATATATCACTTTATTGTAATATATTAAAGCAAGCATTTAAAAGAATTGAAAACTGAGTTCCTCAAAAATACTAAAGAACCTGTCCCTTGGATTTTTGGTTTGTTAACATTCTTTGGAGCAGTACTCTTAAAGTATTAACCAATTCTTCCCAATTCATGGTCCTTATTTCTATTTTTATACTCTTGTGGCTCCTGAAGTATTTCCTCCATCAGCAAAGCAAGTTACAGGCAAATCTTCTTTAAGAACCCTGCCATAACAGCTTATGCTCAATCCTTCCTGGGATTTCTTAACACGTAAATGCACCAGCCAAACCCAGAAATGCAGGTTGATCTATCACCACTAAATAAGTAGACATAAACAAAATCTGGTATGCAACCTAAGGCAAACATTGCTTTTCACCAAGTCTTCCCAACAATGCAGATTTGACTAATGCTGAAGTCATTAATGTAGCTCACTGCTGGTAATTTATTCTTTGTTATCTTTCAAGTTACTGGTTATTTAAAAAATAAACTCCAGTAAAGCTAGCATATGGCTACACGCTTGTTTTCCATTTAGTAACACTTACCGAGCATCTTCCATGCACCAGGTACCTAATATGTGCCAGGGATAAGATAACCATCCTTGTCCCCTTGGAGATTATGATAGTAGTGGGCTGCCTGGGTTTGCTGCTGAACAGGATGGAGATATTAGTCAAGATTTTTTATTACAATCATTGAAAAAGGAATCTACTGGCAAGATCACAGGGTAGCCACAGAATCAATGATAGGTTGAAGAATGACATCCAGTAACTGGTACCATAGGGAAGGTTATGCGGCAGAAATATCACCTTCAATCCCCACATGATGGCTTCAATTAAGATATAAGAGCCAGGGAAAATTTTGGAGAACAGCTTAAACCAGAGGCTCAAGTAGTGGCACCAGAAGGTAGAGATTTTTACATTCAGAACATAAGAATACATTCTTAAGAAAAAGGTCACTTCCTTAAAAAGAAATTCATCAACAGACACAAATGATTCAAATCAACATGAGGCTAATTGATATTCAATATAAAGACATGCAGGGCAAAATTTCTGAGTTACCTTTTCGATTTTTTACATATAAATAAAAGACTTGATTTTTGGACAATTCTTCCTACAGACTTTGAAATTGGGTCTCTCTTTTTTGATACCAATTTTCCCCCTTACCAACACTTTTAATTCAGCAGGCTACAGTGTTAATTTTTACAAGGTAGTAGTCTTCATTCAATATTAGAATTTACACTATAAATCTTTGTAATTAGAGTGTGATGTCTTTTTTTAATCTTTTAAATTTAAAGTGTAAGCTAAGGGACAAAGGGAAAAATAAGTTCTATATAAATTAGCCCTTAGAATTATGGATGACAATTCACTGTTTAAACTACTACTGACAAGGAGGAAATGTATTGCCCCTCCCAATCTTCATAACAGAAAATGGGAAGTAAGGTCCTCTTAATAAGTGAATTTTCTAAGTGACATTAAAAGCTAAAACTAACATTTTAAACCCTATGCAACCCTGTCTGCAGTGCAGTCTACAATTCAATTTAGCCATATCTATCCCCAAACACTATTATCCTCCACCTTTGTCCCGAGGCAAAGCCCACGGCTGTGAGTTTTGTGTGGTCACATAGCCAATCCTAACAGCTAACATTTTAACACCAGCCACTATGGTAGTGGCCTTGATATGATGATTTTCATGTATTACCTAATTGGATTCTCATAAACAATCCTGAGGTTAGCCATATTATCATTTCCATTTTTCCAATGAAGGAATCAAGGCACAGTCAAGCTGAGAAAACTCAAGTAACTTACACTCCTCTCTTACAGTCATCAGCGGGACTTGTGAAGACCGGATCTAAGGCTCTGGATAAATCCCTTCTAGACACAGGCACTTGGATGAATACAAATTGCTACCTCCTCCATCTTCTGTGTGATAAAAAGGCAAGTTACCTAAAAATGTTGGCATCCATAAAAAGAGAGTACTACTTCACAGGATGTTAGGAAATGGGCGAGTCCTTATGGAACTTCTTTCTACAAGATAACATCTTTCAAGGTTTTCTATTTTTAAGAAACAAGATTTAGTAAGTTTTCTTTAAGTATACTCTACACCCAAGGTGGGGCAGAACTCACAACCCCGACATCATGAGTTGCATGCTGTATTGACTTAACCAGCCAAGTGCCTCTTAATGTTTTTTTCTGCTACCCTACAGGGTTTTGAAAGGCAAATGTATAAGGAACTTCTTTTCTATGACTTCCAGTGCTTTATTACCCTAGAGCAACGAGAGAATATAAAAGTTCTGTGTATCAAGTGCCTGGAAATTTTTATGCTTTTGTGTTACACTAACTGCCCAGCAGAGGTCTCAATCAGACAAATAGAAACAATACCATTGTACCATGCCCCTTCTCAGGCAACATTTTAAAGGGACAAGTCAGTGATCCAACCAAGTTTAGAGAGCTGCAGGGGTGACACTGTGGCATCTGCATCCATATAGTTTATGATGATATCTGGGGGGGGGGGGGGGGTCTCAAAATACTATCAATTCCTGACATTTAAGAGAACTGTCAGGATGTCAAACCTGAGATGCAATGTCAGTTCTTCCTTTTAGCTCAATTTCCCAAATTGATGGTCTCAAGGCAATAGCTTGCTAACTAACAAGGTAGGAAATCTGCTAGCAGTAGGTAATCTTAAACATGTCTCTATTAAAGCAAACATAAATCTATGGAGTGAAAACTTCAAGTAATTTAACAAATGTCTTTGGTTTCATATATCATTTCCCCTAATTGTTTTATCAATAAAGTTGTTTACAAATGAGCTATATTTTACAAATAACACAAAGGCAAAAGCGACACTGGAATTCAGGTCTTCTAACACCTGGTCCAGTGATCACTTTTTCACTAATACTGAAATAAAAATTTAGTCATTTCTTTATAATTTTATAACCCTAAGATTATAATTTATTCTAAGTTCTGTCCTCAAAAAATATAAAAACTGAGTTACTTACTATCCTTAAAGTTGCAAATAATGTAGAAATATAAAAACATTAAACATTCAGTACATATTTTTAATTAAAAATGTATCTCCTGCTTCAGTAGTATGTGGGAGGGAGGGGGTTATTTTCTTCCCACTAATTAATACTTTTTTTTAGTACCTTTTAAACAAAAAACTTGTACTTACTTTAGAAAAACAGGATCTTATGTGCAAATAATCTGTGATGCTAAAACCATAAATTTTATTATCCAAAAACAATTAGGAGCTTCATAAAAGAAAACCACACAACCTATTTTAAAAGGCACTGCAATTCCTTTGCTTCTAAATCATTGCTATGCTGGAAAAATATATCTGGTTCTATCAGGAATCTCAGAGTTAAGTATTCTCCAAAGTATAAAGTATATGGTGCCATTTCAGGAGCACACTATTCAGCTATCATCCCCAACATTAAAAGCTGCCTATCAAAACAGTTAAAGTAGGTGAAAACAGTATAACATAATTAGGTTTCAATATGTGAGGCCAATATGCTCTTCAAAGATGCTAAGAAACCAAAACAAATTAAAAGATTACTTGCAACTAATTATCATACAGATTTAGTTCCTTGTTGTAAGCCCCCTTTCTGTATTATTAATACAGGGAATATTTTACTGCAAAGAAAATTTATTGTACATATTGCTAGCCATGAATTTTTGTCATTAGTTCACACATCAATCTGCCTAGTGCCACTATCCAAATGGCAGGACCATTGTTTATGTCCACACTTCACTCTGTATTTACAAAGAGAATTTGCACAACTTACGTAAATGTAAACTCTCAGTGAAGATTTAACAATGGAGATGCAATCTAACATCCATAATATCTGATGTTTTACAGACAGCAATGTAGGAGAGATGCATTTTTAATTACCTTTCATTTGAGTGACCTTACTTAAGATATAAATTGATAATTCAGAAGTTCTTAGTCTCCTAAGGAGATTTTCAAATACACTTATAGAAAGTTAGTGAGATTTTTAAGAAATATCTTCCATGTCCACATCCTGTTGTAATTTCTGCACCATTTTTTCTTCCAGCTGCTTTCCTTTGCCTTAAAAAAAAAAAAAAACTATCAATTCAATGTGACCTTGCCAAACTCATATCAACACTTTCTAAGAAATTTAAGAAGAGTAACTAAACTTACACAGGTCTTACAATATGCCATGCATAAAGTAAGCATTCCATACACATTTGTTCACTTCACCCTCCTAACAACCTGCATTTTAAATATGAGAGAACGGAGACCCAGAGACAAATGAAATTGTACCAAATCACTAAGTAAGCCCAGTAAGTCAAAGAGTTAGGATTGGAACCCTGGCCCTCTGGATTACCTCCCCTCAGAGGGTTACCTACAAAGTTAAATAATGGTTCATTCCTGTTGTTTTGGGGTCAGTTCATTATCGCCTATACATAAAATTATGAAATTATGAAATAATGCTGAAGGATTTTTGCCTATTTTTGTTTTAATAAAATTTGGTACAAAAATTAACCTATTTAAGACTTTTACATAAATCTATTCAACGTGCAGTTTCAGAATTTGACCTTTATTAAAGTTTAGGCATGGAATCATTCAGGAATCAAGTGAACTAAATCTCACCAAAATTTCTCTCCCTTAGGTAATCTGCATAAGTAAATTACATAACAGATGGTATCCGGTGCCAGCTGAGGAGAAAACTGGTTTTCCAGCACCTCACAAAAGAAACTATGCACACAAAAAACTGCCCAAATGGGTGACTACAGGCAAGTTACACACAAAAAATGTTTTAATACAAAACAGCAGTTCTCAAACTTGAGTATCAAAATCAGTATCCGAACCCAGGGAGCTACTAAGGAACCAAAGCTCAGACTCAAAAGGCCTGGGCCTCTGTATTTATACTAAATTCCCCCAAGTAATTCCCATTCCAACCAAAGTAAGAAAACCACTCCTACAAAACACTGTTCTTAATAAAAGCAAGTATGAAGCAAAATCTATGAAATTACTCGAATCTTTATGACTAGCTTATGGAATATGATTTTATGAAGGGGGAAAAGAAATACCATATGCAATAAAATTGCAACTGGGAAATACACTGTATAAATCATATTTTTAAAAACCAAGTCATATCATAAATGAGGTATTTACATAAAAAAATACCCATAAAAAGTTGACTGATACCCATTTACATAGACTACAACAATGTAGATTTTTCAGCTCTCTACTGAAAGAGAACTCCTGTGTAATGTACTTACCTGCAAGAGGGGCCCGGATAAGATGAATGTTTTGCTTGACTTCTTTGATGTCCTGAACTTTCTGTAATTCTTTATTTTTCTTTAATCTAGGATAAAACATATCAAAGCCAAATTTTCAGTTACTTTAACTTCTTTAAAAGACATTAATTCATAATTTATAAATTTTATTAGCCACATAGATGAGCAATGAGAACTCAGAATTATTTTCTAGTTCCTAATAAGCTTAACAAATTAGGATTTCTACACTACCAACTTATTCATTGATTGTATCCCTAACTTAGTTGGGAATAATGTGGAGATTAATATATATTCGCTGAATGAATGAAGAAATGTGATTGAAGGAAAGAATTAAATCTCAGACATCAATGTCTATTATACAAATATAGTGTAAATCTCTAATTGCTAAAGTGCCTAGATGTTTTTCTCCTCAAACTGAGAATACATTGTGTTACCTAATTTTTTTAAGTCAGTAATTGTAAGAACACAAAACATAAGACATTCATTTTAGACAGACATGCTAACAGTCTTCCCCAAACATTTAGGCTTCCTTTTTGTAATGCTTCATTTTTTTTAAAGCCAGAAAGCTGTTTGCACATGCTTTTCTATGGCACACTTAAGTAGAGATGAGATCAAAAATAAGTAACTCTAAAGAAATAACCAATTTTAGGGGCGCCTGGGTGGTTCAGTCATTGGGCATTTGCCTTCGGCTCAGGTCATGATCCCAGGGTGCTGGGATCAAGACCCGCATCAGGCTCCCTGCTCGCTGGGAAGCCTGCTTCTCCCTCTCCCACTCCCCCTGCTTGTGTTCCCTCTCTCGTTGTGTCTCTATCAGATAAAGAAAATCTTAAAAAAAAAAAAAAAAAAAAAAAAAAAACCTAGGCTGGGGCCAGCGAAGTCCAAGATAAGGCCACATCTTGTTAGCCATAAAGCAAGAAAGCATCCCCCAAAAAATGAGATTATCAAAATGACATGGAAGCCTGCCTGAAGGAACTCCCACTGGCCAATGTGGAGCACTTGGAACATCAAAATAAATAATGACAAATAATTGAATACACAGATATATGAATAATTAATAAAGGAATACATTCTGAAATTGGAAAAGGGAAAAGTTCTTTTATATGGGAAAGCCAACTAACAAGTGTAAAAGAAATTACTGAATTAGAAAAATCACCATTTGGCAACAATATAGTAACAGATTCAGACAAGACTCTACTGGATGCTAACACCAGTAGGCACCAGTTTGAGAAATAAGGGACTCTTTGTACAGAGTGTCAAAGTATTTCCCCTAAGATATGATTAAAAAGGAGGGGAAAAAACTTTCCAATGGAGAAAACTGACAGATACCCCTTAACCAAGTGATCAGTCACTTGGAACAACATGTGCTTCCTAATATGTATGTCCTTCTTATGTATCATTTCTATGATATTCTGGCCAAAATACCTAACCTGAATCTAATCATGAGGAAACATTAGACAAACACAAACTGAGGAACATTCTATAAAATAACTGACCTGTACTCTTCAAAGATATCAGTGTCATATAAGACAAAGATGAGAAAGTGTCCAGATTAAAAGAGCTTGAGGAGATATAACCACTAAATGCAATGCAAGATCCAGGATTTTCTGTTGCTATAAAGAAAATGCCTGGGACTGGTGAAATCTAAGGTCTGTAGGTTATATAATAGTATTGTTCAATGTTAATTTCCTGATTTTGGTAACTATACTATGGTTATATAAGAGCATGCTCTTATTTTTAGAATATATACACTGAAAAATACTCAGGAAAAGGGCATCATGTCTTCAACTTACTATAGAGATAAGGATACAGTAAAGAATATACAAAAGTTCTTTATACTATTAATTTCTTTAATTTTCTGAGGTTATGTGAAAACAAAAAGTGGAAAAAAAAAATATCTGGATCCCTACTAGTAATTATTTTTCCAACAGTTACTTGATACATATATTCATTCATACCTGTTCATTATAAATTTAGCTTGGCGCTTCTGTTTGATCTCTTCAACTCTCTTCATTGCATCAACTACAATAAAAATTCATAAGAGTTAGCAAATTTTTGCACATCCAAGCAAGAGCTTTAACGATCATTCCCCTTTATTCTCATTTAGAAATGGATGAAATGAAAAACTCACTGCAAAAACAATCCCTACTAAAACAGCTTAAGAAGGTAAATACTCTTGGCTGACATCACCATTTATCTTTCGCAAATATATCTCTATTTTTATTTTACAAAAGCCTTTACTGCTACTAAATTTTCCTTCTACTTTAAACCAGCCCAATGCTTCTCAAACTTTACAGAGAATCGGGATTAATGGCAACTTATCCCTTCTTAGTTTGTCCTCTCCATTAATAAAAGCACCATTCTGGGCATAAGTACTATTTCTTCAAGTGTCTGGGATATGATCTGCACATGATGAATATTGGTAGAATGAACCAATCATTTTACCATATTCCCAACCACTAAAATCCAACTGTTCTGGGAAATGTGTAGAGAAGCTGAATCCAAATACACTCTAGAATCTATTCCAGCACTAAGACAAACCACATATATAATTTTAAATTTTCTGGCAGCCACCGTAAAAAATAAGGAACAGGTCAAAATCTAATAACAGATTTTGTTTAACCCAATATATCCAAAATACTGTCATTTCAACATAATATAAAAATTAACTGAGGTTATTTTATGCTTGTTTTCATATGAAGTCCTCAAAAATCACGTACTTTACATTTACAGCAAATTTGGATTCAGACTAACCACATTTTAAGTGCTCAGCAGCCCCTGTGGCTGCCATATTGGGCACACACTCCCAATCTAACTTCTTACATTCTATGGCTCTGAAGAAGAGCAGGATATTCACATACTCTTAAAATATCTCCCCACAATATACTTACTAATTACAAAGGATAAAATACTAACTTTACAGTGAAGAAACCTACCACCTTAACCAATGATCAAAGTTAACATGGCCCGTAATACGACCCCAATGAGTAGCATATGCCTCCTGGCAGGACACAATGATAAGAACTCAGCATCACATCTATAGTACTCCTACCAAATGTACAATACCCAACTCTAATCTTGAGGCAGCATCAGACAAAAGCTAATTCAGGGATTTTATACCAAATGCTTGAAACATACTCTTCAAAACTATCAATGTCATGAAATATAAAAACTCGCAAACTATTAAAATTTCAAAGAGACAGGGCATGTACTATTTTTTTTTTTTTTAAGATTTTATTTATTTGACAGAGAAAGACACAGCAAGAGAGGGAACACAAGCAGGGGGAGTGGGAGAGGGAGAAGCAGGCTTCCCGCCGAGCTGGGAGCCCCACACGGGGCTTGATCCCAGCACCCTGGGATCACGACCCAGGCCGAAGGCAAACGCCCAACAACTGAGCCGCCCAGGTGCCCCAGGGCATGTATTATTCTTACACAGGTCTGAGTTTAGATGATCATACTGTATCAATGCTAATTTCTTGACTTTAATAACTGCACTATAGTTATGTAGGAGAATGTTCTATTTTTTAGGAAATATTCAATTTTTTTTAGTTCTATTAAACTACTTAGGGACAAAAGCACTATGTATTGCCAGGTGCCCCTTATGTATATAACTTAAAGTTCAGAAAATTATAGAAGGAAAGAAAAGGAGAGAGAAAATGGGTAAATTTAGTAAAATGTTATTTGAGGAATCTGGATGAAGGAATTCTGCAACTTTTCTGTTCAGTTTAAAATTAAGTCAAATAAAAACATTTAAGTGTAGGATGCCTGGGTAAGCTCAGTCAGTTAAGTGTCTGCCTTTGGCTCAGGTCATGATCTCAGGGTTCTGGGATCAAGCCCCACATCGGGCTCCTTGGTCATTGGGGAGTCTGCTTCTCCCTCTCCCTCTGCCCTTCCTCGCCCCCTGCTCGTGCTCACTCACTAATAAAATCTTAAAAATAAGTAAATATAACAACAGCAACAAAAACCCAACACATTTAAGTGTAATCTGGGGTCCAGCAACATTGGCATCATCTGAGAGCTTGTAAGAAATGCAGAATCTTAGGCTCCACCCAGACATGCTATATCAAAATCTGCATTTTAACAAGACTCCCCAGAAGGCCCCATGGGGCCGCTGGTATTACTACGATGTTTGTATGAACAGTCTAAGAGAAAGTCAACTCTAAATCTGCACATGCTAAATATGCTAGATATGTACGTTTTCCTTTCTTTGCCTTTCAACAAAAATTGATAAGACCAAGATCTAGTACTCAAAAGTATTTCTATACCTTAAAGTTACTCAGCAGGGAAATAAACAAAGAAGTGGCAGGTAAATCCTTTCCAAACAGTAAGACACTGTATTTCCGAATATTCCAGATTACTAGAAAATTTTAAATACAAGAAGCACCTGATGTTAAAAAACTGATCTGAGGGGCGCCTGGGTGGCTCAGTTGGTTAAGCGACTGCCTTCGGCTCAGGTCATGATCCTGGAGTCCCTGGGTCGAGTCCCGCATCGGGCTCCCTGCTCGGCAGGGAGTCTGCTTCTCCCTCTGACCCTCCCGACCCTCCCCCCTCTCATGTGCTCTCTCTTTCTCAGTCTCTCTCTCTCAAATAAATAAATAAAATCTTTAAAAAAAAAAAAAAACTGATCTGAAATACAGAGACATGACAGATAAAAACAAACTATTCTTCCCAGTATTCTTGTTTTTGAAGTTCTCCTACTGTTGACATCAGCATCTTAACAAAGGTTGCTCAGTCCACATCTTCACATGATTCAAAAATGTAAGCAATGAATATAAAACTATTGTCAACATATTAGCTTACAGACCTATGATATTGAAATAGGGGTTGTGGGAAATCAAATCTGAAGCGGCTACCAGATAGTAAAAAAGAAAACAAAGGCCAAAATTAAATAAAATTCTATGGGATATAGAAATGCTTTAGGACCTTCTAATAATGTCCTTGACAAGTTTGCCTTTTAGAATCATAAGAATTCTTATCAAAAATGTGTGGTGATAGACTTACTGTGATCATTTCACAATATATGCAAATATCAAATCATTATGTTGTACATCTTAAAACAAATGTTATATGTCAATTATACCTCAATTAAAAAAAAGAACCCTATTAATCTCTCCAGAAATCCTTGAGTTTGAATCAGTGTTATTTCCTTACCAAATAAACCTAGTAAAATCAACTTTTCAGAAATTAACTCTTCCTCTAATTACAAAACAGAAGGAAAGACTTTATTTAAAAAAACAAAACACAAAAAGGCAAAATACTTAAGGCCATGTGGAAAATGCAATTCCAAAACTGGATTCTGATTTCTCCACATGGTCTAGGAAGATAAAAAGCTTTAGAGGGTGACAAATACTACCACAAAGACCCTAATTTTTCAATTCCTCCCCTGCACTGCTATGACTGGGCAAAAGGTGATGAAAAGGATGCCCTGCCTATGATCCATTCAAATCTGATAAAGTCGGGGCACCTGGGTGGCTCAGTCGGTTAAGTGTATGCCTTCAGCTCAGGTCATGATTCCAGGGTTTTGGGATTGAGCCCTGCATTGAGAAAGGGGGAGGGAGGGGGGCCTGCTCAGCAGGGAGCCTGCTTTGCTCTCTCCCATTCCCCTCCCCCCACTCTCTGTCAAATAAATAAAATCTTAAAAGAAAAAAAAAACTGATAAAGTCTACAGGACTCTGAGCCCTGGGGACTTCTAATTAACAAACCAACTATATCACCTCTACACCCAAGCCTAGAAATGGCTAAAGACTGCATAAGACAGCTGCAGGGAGAAGAAAAGTCAAGGCCAAGGGCCTCAAACACACACATAGGGGCATCTACAAGCTAGCTTAAGGAATTTAGTTTTACTACATATGGGATTTTTTTTTTCATTAGTCTCTGCCTGCTTCAGAAAAATGAAAAAAGACAAGGACTAGTTATCCTTGCTTTTAACTTCAGTAGCCTATAGCTTGATTTATACCTAAGTCATACACTTAGAAGTTCTCTTAGGAAATATAATTATCACCTTAAGTGCTGTACTTTTTAATTTTACAGAAGCATTACATTTCATAAGGTATACAGAATATAATGTTTATATCCCTAAACCAAATTATTTAAACTTGTAAAGTATGTTAGGTTTTGTGTATATTTTAACTATGCCACACTCACCCCAAAAAAGAATTCTCCACCTCTATTCTTCTCAGATTTTTAGATCTTTTTATATCTCTGTATAGACACTCCAAATAATATCGAATCTAATAATTACACTTTTTTAAAGATTTTATTTATTTTAAAGAGGAGTGAGCAGGGGAGCAGAGGGAGGAGGAGAGAATCTCCAGCAGACTCCACACTGAGTGCAGAGCCCAACGTGGGGCTCGATCCCACGACCCGGAGAGCATGACCTGAGCTGAAACCAATAGTTGGTCGCTTAACTAACTGAGCCACCTAGGAGCCCCTACGTTATTTTTATAATGGATATATGAGCCAATTCTGAAAAAAATTTGGGGCAGCTTATCATAAAAGATGCAACTACAACAGAACCATTAAAATGAAAATTAAGAATAAAAGCTAACCAATGAAAAGAATATTCATATTTAAACATTAAATTCAAAGTAATATCCCAAAATAATCTCTCCTGAAAATTCTTGATAATTCTTTGTAACTTACTAGTTTTATTCCATAACTCTCGCTGGTATTTGACAGGTTCATTTCTACGTTTTTCAAATTCAAATGAATTATCCTGTAAGAAAGGGGAAAATATGGTTTTAAGAGAGATACAAAAGAAACATTTCTTAAAAACTTACCCTCCTTGTCACAAGAGTTGTGTTTCAAACCACAGACACATATTAAGATTTCCCCAGGGTGACCCTAGCAAACGCCAAAGTTTTCATACTACTTCTCCTTTACACACCAGATATACAAGACAGCCCTACTGAAAATATCAATCTATATACAACTAATTTTTAAGAAAAGAGGAGGAGGGTATCAGCCCCATTCTTCAGAGGGTCATATAACAATCACGGAGATTTCAAACAAACTGAAGAGGCTTCCCTCATTTCCCATTCCTAGATGAGACTCACAGGCAGAAAACTTTCTATTAGGCTGAACCATATGAATTACCACTTTTCATAGATCAAAAAAGAGTTAAACATTGAGAACTTCATATTGTGCAACCTATATACCTATCATGTTTATATATTTCAGTATTTATATACCTTTATTATAGCATAAAGGTGTACAACTACACATCTTCAAATGTGGTGCTGCCCTGCATGACAAATTTTCTCCCAGAAATTTTTCAGGTCCCCTCTAAATGTAGTTGGTATTTTGACCGTTAATAAATCCTATTTACCTTAAAACATGTGAAACAATTTTAGAAACGCTACAGGTTTCTTAGAAAAACTACAGGTCTATTTCTTAGTTTTCAAATTTATCTGAGATAGGCAAATGGAACAGCACTAACTCTGTATTCACCTATTTCATTATACACACATGACCTGTTCAATCACAATAACCTCAGCAATGACAAGGTAACTGGTCACCAGCAAATGACTGTGACTGGCATCCTTTCTTCACTCATGCAGTTGTCACTTGCGTTTGAAGTGCTGTTTATTCTTGTCCATACTGGAAATTATTTTTGTGACAATAATTGTGATTTGGGGGGCGCCTGAGTGGCTCAGATGGTTAAGCATCTGCCTTCGGCTCAGGTCATGATCCCAGGATCCTGGGATCGAGTCCCGCATCGGGCTCCCTGCTTGGCGGGGAGCCTGCTTCTCCCTCTCCCTCTACTGTTCCCCCTGCTTGTGCTCTCTCGCTCTGTCAAATAAATAAATAAAATCTTAAAAAAAAATAAATGTGATTTGGCTTTGCATCTTGTCAAAACATATTCTTCCCATTCGTTGAAAATGAAGCCAGGAAGGGGCTTCATAGCAACTGCTTAGAAACTGCCCTTAAAGGAGTAGAGAGGTGGGAAAGAGGAAGTCATGGAGGGAAGGAACAGTTTAAAGGTCTTCCTCCTTCAAAGGTAGCTTGTGCAGCAGCTTTCACGTCCTCCCTTTATAGGGGTCAAATGTGGACAAGTTTCACCAGGCCCTTCTACCAACTCAGTAACAACAACCTGATGATGGACACTCATGCATGAAATTCCCTCACCCCTGACTTCCCACTATTCCTCCTTCAATCAACACACTTCTCTGCTCTCAAAGTCCTGTAAGGAAATCCAGAAACTAACAAATGAGTCTACAACAAATCTCATCAGAGCCTTCAATGGTATTCAGGAATCCTTTTATCTCTTAGCTTCCTCTCAAAATCCTTGAGTAGTAATTTCTAACTTCACCCCAATCCATTTAAATGATTTTCCCTTTTGTTTACAGGAGCTAAAAAATGGTTTTTTGAGAATAAGGAAAATCACTTCCATAAATTGAATTAGGAATTTTTTTCCTTTACAGAATTCTACAGATTTATGGTTTTTAGGATTATGTGAGAATATTATTACAATAGCCAAATACAAATAAATCACTCACCAATCTTATCATAGAAAGTCTTGTTATAGTTAAATTACATTTAATACCTAATAATAACCCTCCCACACAAAAGTTAAAATTAACTATACTCACCACTGTAAGCTCTTTACCAGCTGCTTTACGGAATGCTTTAGTCCACCTGACCTTGCGAGGATTCCGCTTCTTTTTAAAGTTTTTATGACACTTGGATTTACAGAATCTGAATACCTACAAGAAAAGTTAAAATAATGGAGTCAACATTAAGAATGTTTCTATCCTAGGATGTTATGCATGCCAGACAAAATATAATTAAAAAGTCTGAGAAATGGCAATGGTTCTCACTAACAATTCCTTCTACTTACACCATTTAGAAATATGTGAGACATGTAAGATTAAATGTAAACTGAACTATTTTTGACTATTATTTAACTATCAAATATCATCACAACTAATGGCTGAAGGGCCCCAAATATATGGTTAAAAACTACCAGCCATTTTTATATATTAACAGTAAAACCTTATAATCATCTTGAATAGTAACAATGGTTTCAAGGAAAGTCATTTATTTAAATCCCTTCCTACTTAACAATAATTCTCAAATTTCAATTGCTATATACCTCAATGGGGGTGAAAGCTTCAAACACCTATTCTGAAACTCCTTTGGTTCTATCCTTTTTGTTAAAAGCACAAAATAATTTCAAAAAGCAACTAACACTGGTTATAGATTTGTGTTCTAAAGTATTTATTTATAGGTCTACTAGGAAAATTCTTCAATACTTTAATTCTTTACACCTTTATCCCAGAAGATATGACCCTTCATCAGTGCTAACTTATGATTTAATGATACTTCAATGTGCCCCTGAAATGGCTTACTGGGACTCAGTAGAAGTCTAAAATACGTATTACTTTGTAATGTCTTAAAACACACTGCAATTTGTACATGTAGAGGAAATCTGAAGAGAAAAAGTACTACTTTGGAGTACATGGATCTTGACAAAGAATCTTAAGTTGAATTATCATACCTAGAAGATGTGACCCATTAAAAAAAGATCAAAATGAGGTATAAACATTTCAAATTGTGTATATAGATCACAAACCTGTGTGTATATATCACAAACCAAAATACTTTTCATTTTATGTACACTTTGTTCTATGGGGGAATTCAAGCAGGTCCCCATACACACTAGGACACAGTTTTCTTAGAAACAGTATAATACTAGTTTAATCTGATCCAGGTCAGTACCTCCTAGAGAGGACAGGAGTCAAAACACGTCTATATTGTTGAATTAGTTTCAAAGCAAACAGAAATATATGAATACAAGTAGGTCTCCTGGAGTACCCCACTATGAATTCATTATCAGTAATTTTTTTTTTTTTTTTGTATTTTCAGCCCAAAGGGACTATTACCTTTTTAAGTAAAAGCCTCCTATGTTTAATACTTACTAGGTAACTCCTAGACAAGTCCTCATTTCTGAGATATACCAAATGAGATGTCTGTACTTGTCCTGGGTCTCCTCAATTCCAAACAGAGCCAATGGAAAGATAGAGAAGTCTACTTGAACTCTGTATCTAATAGATGTTAACTAAAAAAGACAATGAAGTACCTGAAGAGAATGGAATCACTGGAGATGTGAAGGGAATTCAATCAACAAATAAGAAGGATCTACTATGTATCTGATATTATCAGGTGCTAGAGATACAAGAATAATTAAAATATGGTATTCTACCCTGAGAAGCTTAGGCTAGCATTGTATAGTCTCAATTTACAAAGGAGACATTGAAATCAGGATAGGGCATACACAATACATACAATGATACATGTTTAAGCAATATGGAAATACAAAATAAGGGAGTGGTTAAATATATGGTGTAGGTGATGGATGGATTGTGAGGCAAAACTTCATAGGCGCCAAGTTTCCCTTTTAAGCTAGTCCTCTAACATCATCCTCGGTTTTCAACAAATGATCTAATACTTCAGCTTCAAAGTTCAACTCTTTCCTATATTCCACTGATTGAACACTTATTAAGGACTCATTAAGGGTGCCTGTATTTTTTTATGTTTGCAAAGTATATGAAAATACGGAACATTAACACTAATTCTACCATTACGAAGCTACCCAAGAAGCGTAAGAGGGAAGGTTTCTATGAAAAACAGTCTCAAAAGCTAAGAGGAAAAAGGCAGAAAGACTGGTTAGGAGGCTATAAAAGTGACCAGTGCCTAATCTGGAACCAGAGTGGGAGGGCAGAAAAAAAACAAAGACCACCATCCTTTGCACAGGCAGATGGATAAGACTTGATAACTAAATTAACGGTGAAAGGTTCAAAGATGACTCACATTTCTAGCAAAACTGTCTAGGCATATGACAGTGGTATTAACTCAGAAACAATAAAAGATTTGAGGTAATTAGGAACTCTTTCAGTAGGCTCACTGTTAAGTACAAACAGGATTTCCCCATCCAGTGGAAAATTCAGACTAGAGCTAAAAAGACACAGATCTGGGAATCACTAACAGAAAAAAATGAGATACCTATCTTCCTTAGTGCTTCAGGGCCTCTGCTTCTTATATCCCCAGCCAACTCTATTTTGGATCCACTGGTATTCCCAAGAGTAAGCTGGCTCCCAGCCAATTCAAACCTGTCCTTGCTAGCAATACAGACTTCCTCATCAACATGAACTTCCACTGTGTCTGCCAGATTACCACCCAACTCTAGATAGCTCCCATGATGTGTTGTTCTAATTCCTATACCCACCTGAGAAGCACTGCTCGACAAAAATCATAAAATTATGATGACCAGATCATCTACAAAGCCATAGTGCCCACTGTGAATTAAATGCCAACCTAACAATCATTTAGTTCGTTTCTATAAACTTTTTGTCATGTTCCTGAGAGCAGGTATTCAAAAATCTTCTGCATGTTCTTTCAAGTTCCCAAACCTAGCTTTCGTCCCACATTTTCCGCAGGAACCCCTTGCTCCTAATAAATGACGTTGATATCTTCAGTCTATAAGAGATATAAGGTGATGACATAGGATCTGTAATTCCTTGGCATATCAAAATCACCTGTTAAATAGAGAGTCCTAGGTCCTCTTCTCCTCCCCAAAAAGATACCAATTTAATAGATCTAGTGGAAACGAGGAATCTTTTTTTTTTTACAAGTGCCCAGTGATTCAGAAGCAAATATGAAAGGTCGAATTCTGAGAAACAATGTGTTAAATAAACATAGAATGAGATTCATTCTACCATAAGACAAATTCATGTATCAAAGTCTATCGCAACCAGGCCTCATAATTATGTTTATATTTTGGTTTTGGTTTTTTTTTTTTAAGATTTTATTTATTTATTTGAGACTGAGAGAATGAGAGAGAGAGAGCACACGAGCTGGGGGAGGGTCAGAGGGAGAAGCAGGCTCCTCGCTGAGCAGGGAGCCCGATGCGGGACTCGATCCAGGGACTCCAGGATCATGACCTGAGCAGAAAGCAGTCGCTTAACCAACTGAGCCACCCAGGTGCCCTATATTTTGTTTTTTTTTTTAAAGATTTTATTTATTCATTTGACAGAGATAGATACAGCAAGAGAGGGAACACAAGCAGGGGGAGTGGGAGAGGGAGAAGTAGGCTTCCCACCTGCTTTATCCCAGAAGATACGACCCTTTATCAGTGCTAACTTATGATTTAATGAGGCTTCAATGTGCCCCTGAAATGGCTTACTGGGACTCAGTAGAAGTCTAAAATACATATTTTATTACATTGTAATGTCTTAGAACACACTGCAATTTGTACATGTAGAGGAAATCTGAAGAGAAAAAGTACTACTTTGGAGTACATGGATCTTGACAAAGAATCTTAAGTTGAATTATCACACCTAGAAGATGTAACCCATTAAAAAAAAGGTCAAAATGAGGTATAAACATTTCAAACTGTGTATACAGATCACAAACCTGTGTGTATATATCACAAGCCAAAACACTGGGACCCTGGGATCATGACCCGAGCCGAAGGCAGACGCTTAACGTCTGAGCTACCCAGGCGCCCTATATTTTACGTTTATGTACGTATCTTTTTATATACAGACTTACATGTGTATTTATAGCCTTACCCCAAGCCTCTATCACGATATACAACCCACTCACTTCCTTAGACTGCTTCGCTGAGCCTCTACTCAACCGTTCACTTTACTTCCACCTAGAATGTACTCTCCTTTTTTACGCAACATTCAAGATCCAGGATAAATGACATCTCCTTTCTGAGCCTTTTCATATCTGACCCTCCCCAACTCACCTGCGCCCGCCTTCGTAATACGTAACTACTACGAAGCCACACGCAACCTTTCAAGTCAACCTCTACACGTCACGGACATCCCCAAGTCTTACTCATCTCTATGGACACCGATCTTAGCAATGATGCTTGACTGGGCATACATTCAACAAAGTTTACGGAATTCAGAAACTTCACTCACGTACAAGAGTGACCAAACTGCCCGAACACACCCCTAGATTCCATTCTGCGCTGGCTCAAGTAACTGGGGAACCTCACCGCCGCCAACCTTGCCCAAGGCTGGGCTGGTGACCAGCTCGGTTCGGGACACCCACAAGGAGAAATTCCCCAGGTCCAGGACAAGGCCAGAGCTCCTCGTAAAATCACCCTCTTGTGAAGGCAGCGCGGAAAACCCGAGCCAAACGCCCCAGACGCCGGAGGAGCCGGCGCCGAGCTGGCGCGGCCTCACGCTCGCGGGAGCGTCGCAGAGAGCGCGCTGGTCCTGGGCGTCTCACCTTGCAATCGTTGCGGACAAACATCATGCCGTGGCCGGGGTAGATAGGGCCCGAACAGAAATAACACTTCTCAATACGCATGTTGAAACCGCGTGGGTGCCCACTGACCAGACGCCGATCTTAAGTGGAAGTGACGTAGCTCCGTCACAGGAAGTGATTCTCTTCAATACCCGACCCGGAAAAAGCGAGCGTCCGTCGCGCCTGAGGGCCTTGGAAGGAGGTCCGAACGTTTCGGCGCCTCCCAGCGGCCGCGGGACCAAAAGCGCTGCCGTTTGGCGCACGCGCAGAGCTGCAAAATCGGCCTCCTTACCCTCGCTCTTAGGAGGTGAAACGTGGCGCTGCTCTCCCTTGTCGTTCTCACAGCGCCTCGTTTTCCTCTCTACCATACCCTGTGACGTCAGCATTTACTCATATCTTGTATGGTTTGTGCTTTGTCCCCGGCCGACTCTCCACACACTGGGATGCCTCTAGGAACTCCTTTTTCCACTGCCTGCCCTTTTACCCGCCCCTAATTGGCGTCCCCAGCGTAGCGGGGTGGCGGTATTGAGAACCTACCTACTTCGGACTCACGACCTAAGCATACGATTCTCTGAGGCTGAGAACGTTACCAACAGTTTTTGAGAGACTTGTAGTGATTTTTACCTTTTCTCCTCCCCCTTTTAATTAATATACGTGTGGTGAGAAACACATTTTCGTAGGAAACAAAGGTTCCCTCCTCAGACCTCGAGACCTCCTTCGCGGTGGCAATCGGTTCCTTTTATTACCTGTCAAAGATGTTCTGTGCATAGACAAACATGTTTATTTCTGTGTGCTTGCATCTCCCTCTTCTTTTTAACACTAATGAGCATCCTATCCACCCTTCTGTGCATCTCACTGTTATCTGTCCCTTATTATTGGAATAAGAGCTCCATGAAGATAGGGATTTTTGTCTTTTTGTTTATAGCTACAGCTCCAATACCTAGAATAGTTCCTAGCACATAAATATTTTATCAATGAATATTTAATATTCTCTCTCTTTTTTTTAAGATGTATTTATTTGAGAGAGAGAGAGCACACGTGAGCGTGGTGAGGGGCAGAGGGAATCCTCCAGCAGACACCCTGCTGAGTGTGGAGCCCCTCACCAGGCTCAATCCCAGGACCCTAAGATCAGGACCTGAGCCCAAATCAAGAGTGGGTAGCTTAACCCACTGAGCCACACAGGAGCCCCTAACATTATTTTTCCTAGTTTTGTATGTATGTGCGATTATATGAAGGTGTCATTTTAATTGGTCGCTTATGGATGGACATTTGTTTCCTATTTTTGGTTATAATAAGCATCCTTATATTCCTGGTAGGATAGTCTACCTTGTGTGAATGGAGGTGTCGATTCTTGGATTCCCCACGAAAGATTTACCTAAGGCTCTGCACTCCAGTAAAGATAGAAGGAAAATAGAATGCAGAAAGCAATTTATTAGGGACAGTATACTCTCAAGGTGGGAGAATAGGCTGGCCCAGAGGTGGCAACTGCCCTAAGACTATAGGGGTTCTTTCTTTTTACAGGAGCGGGGGTCTTCTTCATAGAGGCGCAGTCTCTAATGGATGCAGCTTCCAGTCATTTGGGGGACTCCTCTCACGGGTTGGGAGGGGGAGTTTTTGACCCTACAAGGTTTGTACCAAACTGTCATTGCAGCTTTGCCCATGGGGCGGGGCTAAAAAGTGCAATGCAAATATATTATAATGAGTCTAGGGGTTAGCCTGGGGCAGAGGTGGAAGAGAAGAGCCAGTTTGGCACCTGTGGCTCTTGGTCCTTTAGCCCCAGGGTCTTGGAAGCCACAAAGTCTGGGTGCCTCCAGACTTCTAATATGTAACCTATTTATCACCTTCCCTTGCCTCCAGCTCACATCTAAATGTCTACTCTATCACTTACTGATATACTTTTTTTTCCAAAAGGGAGTTTATCTACATAGAAAAAGGCTAGATCAGAGGATATGATAGGTACTCTTTTAAAATCTGGAATATTGAATACTCTCTAAAAGGTTTTACCAATTAACACTCAACAACAACCAATAAGATACTGATTTCACTACATTCTTGTCAAAAATAATCTTTACCAGTCTGAAGTTAAAATTTATTTCATTATTATTTTAACTTGCATTTATTTAATTATGAATGAGGTTAAGAATCTTTCCAAATGTTCGAAATCTATTTTGCTTTGTGACTTGCCTGTTTATGTCCTTTACAGTTTTCTACCATGTTGATTCTTAACATCGCTTGACATATTAAGAAAGTTAGTGCTTTGCTGACATTTAGATATTGTTTCCCAATTTACTGATATTTTAAACTTTGCTTACAGTATTTTTCCATCCAGAAATGTTTTCTTTGTATATATCCAAACTTATCCAATCTTTTTTGTTTGTTTTGTTTTGGATTTTTCTCCATTATTTTTACAGTATTTTTCACACTTGAATTTTCAGCCAATCTGGAATTTACTTAAGTATAGATGACAAGGATTCCAGTTTTGTTTTTTTTCTGATAACATGTTGAATAATGCATCATTTCCCTAATTCAAAATGTCACTTCTTTATGGGTTTACCTCTGGACTCTCTTTGTTTATTTATGTGCCAGTTCCAAAATGTTTAAATTGTTACAACTTTTTAAATAACTGGGTTTACCTGCAGCCCTCCTCTCACCTTCTTGGCCTTTTTATGCATTGTTTCTCTGGCTATTCTTTAAAGTTTATTTTTTCAGTTTTAGAATCAGTTTGTCTAATTAGAATCTACAAATACATAGAATTTTTCCTTTTATCTGATAATTATATTTACTTTTCTTCTCTAATAATTTGAGTAGTAATTCCATAACAATGTTAACCACAAAGGCACATACCAGAAATGTTAGTAATAAACATTTGCCCAATACTTGTCAACCAAGACACTGAAAATTATTTTATCCTTGCTTAATCCTCTCCCTCTCTTGTTCCCATCAACAATTATAGAAGAGTCTCAGCCGTCCTCCCAAGCTATTTACACAATTCCTTCCCAACTCTGTTTTATCCTGCTACTTAAATAAGAAATTTCCTGCCCTTCTCACTTACACGATCACCCAGCATCCCCCTCTTAACTTCAATGTCAGAGGCCACATCCCTTATCTGTGCTCTTAATCCCATACCCTAAAGTTTCATTGGAGGCTTACATAAGAAAAGAAAGACATGTATTCCACATCCAATAAATTGAGCTAAAATCTTGGAAATACTATTTTTCACTTATCCTGCTTGAGACTTATGATTCCTGAATCTGAAAGTATGTGTTTTATCATTACTAAAAAATCCTCAGCTCTTTTCTTTTCATATATTGCTTCTTCTATTTTCTCTAATTGCTTCTTCTAGAATTCCTACTGGACATAAATTGAAGTTTTTATCTCTCCTCTGTATCTCTTCTCTTACTTGCTCTTTATCTCTGCTGAAGTCTGTGTAATTTTCTCCAACCTGGCTTCTAGTTCACTAATTCTCTCTCCAACTGTGTCAAACTTGCCATTTAACTTTTGACCATTAAGTTTTGAGTATCAGTGACTGTATTTCTCATACATGAAGTCTTTTTTTTTTTTCATTAAAACCAATCTTTTATCTTTAATAATGTCTTCTTTTTCCAGATGTTTCAACTCCTCTTAGGTTTGTAATTTTCTTAAACTTTTACTTTATGGTCCCCATCTGATATTATTTGAAGTCCTTACGTGTAAAATACTGCTGCTTTGGGTTTACTGACCCTTGCTCATGATTGAGGCTGAGAGAGTAGGGAAGGAATGGGTTGTCATTTTTTAATTGTGAGTTCATCCTTAGTAGAGTGTTTTCTGGAAGAGTCCTGTAAAGTATGGGTGGAGATGTTCTCTCTGAAAAGATTTTGCTTCGCTTCTACTAAGTAGTCCAGAGGTATTATATTACCAACCACAAATCACTTTTTTATGTTAACTTCTTGGCTTAGCATTCTCAGACAAAAAAATAGGTACTATAAATTTGAACCCTAAACCTGTGTAAAAGGTTATACATTTCTCAGGAGAGACTAAGACATAGAGTGGGCCCTGGATTTTTGTCTGTTTGGGGGTGAGGGCTTCTCCATTCCAGGGCCCTACCTCTGCCATATCCAAGACTTTCTCTCCTAATGGCATGTAGTCACTAAAACTAAGCACCTTGATTACTAATACTGGCAAAATGAAACCAAGAGCAAACCACACTCAGTATCAGATTGTTGAAATTTCTCTCTGTTGCTGCCATTGCTGTTGCCCTTGTTATTGTCTGTTTTGTGGGGGAAAGGGGTGGTCGCAGGATATTTCTCTTACTTTATTGAGAGATCAACACTACATTTAAAAAATACATTCATTATATTTTATTCAGCATTATCTAAATGTTTTATAGTGGAAGAATTTTCCAGTGATATAGTTACCAATATTGCCAAAAATAGAAGACCTGGAAATACCATACAGAAATTTCCAGTCTATAAAAATGACAATCAAAACATTCCCTTTTTAGATTGTTAGCAATCTTGACATCAACTTTAAGATACAGAATGTACTTCTCAGATTTCCTAATTTCTCACATAAACCACAAACATATGTGAGCCTGTCTAAACATTTTTGAAGTGTTTTTATTTTCAAATTCTACTCCTCTTTGAACATTAACAGACTCCTATTTGAAAACTCATTCATTTGATCCTGCTGCCACTTAAGTCCTTTGTGCAGTTCACCAATAACCTACTGTGTAGTGGCCCTTTTCTGTGCAGTGGCAACACAATTTTGAAGAAAGCTGCCTGAGTCCCATTTGTCATGGAGCTTATATCTTTTTTTTTTTTTAAAGATTTATTTATTTATCTGAGAGAGAGAGCACAAGTGGGAAGGGCAGAAGGAGAGGGAGAATCTCAAGCAGAGTCCATGCTAAGCAGAATCCCCAGAATACCTCAGAATACCCTAGAATACCTCAGAAGGAGAAGTATAATGAAGTCACACAAACTTGGCAGACTAGACCACTTTTTAATTATAAGCTTAATTGGCATGAAGTTCACTGAGGATACACTTTACTTTTACACAGTCTTATAAATAGAAAAATACATTGATGCACAAAAATGGTACTTTGATACCAAATTCAAACAAAGGATTTCCAAAGACAATACAGGTTATTTATCTCAATAATTAA